TTTGAATTCTGAATTGACAATTTAGCTTCATTCCATTATCATAGTTAATTCATCTTTGTCATCATTGAACCAGAGTACGTATAGATTTCTGTTATGACTAAGTAATTGGTTAAGAAATAACAAAACAAGAGGTTGCAGATAAATAGTGTATTGAACAGTAAATACAACAGAAGTGAGTTACACAACTTGGGAGTGTGTGTCAGTTGACCAGCATTCAGTCTATATCACTGATTCCCTTGAGGCTTACTTTCCTACTACTTTATAGTAAGTGGAAGAGTCCACAATAGCCTCTCATTAGAGGGAAGACATCACAACAGTTTCACAGTTTCAAAGACATAGCTACTAAACAAAGTGCATATATGTAACTGACATTTATATCCATTATCCCTGTAGGAGACTCAAATAAAATTTTGGAGCTTTAAACCTGATATTTGTTTGTTCCTATTCAACACCCCTCTGTCCTACAGAGACAATGACCTTGCAGTTATAAGTATGGTAAAGTATTTGCAGTTCAGTTGGTAGTTGTAAATTTAATCATTGGATCAGACTTTTAACAACCATATACAGTGGAACTTCAGTTCACGAACTTAATTCATTCCTGAAGGCCATTCATAACCCGAAATTTTCATAAACCGAAACTATTTTTCCAATAGGAATTAATGTAGAGAAAAAAAGTCACAGTACAATAAAATTGGAAAAGAAAAGCACGCCACAACATACAAATGTATACAATACAGCAGTTGACTCAGAAATTATTCCGTTCAGGTTAACTCGGTTTGGCAATGTTGTTCAAGAACAGAAATTTTGTTTGATAACCAAGTTATTTTCATCTCAAATTTTCTGTTCGATAACCGATTTGTTTGACATGTAAGACATTCGAAAACCGAGGTTGCACTATACCAGAAGCAAAAGCAGAACCACTGGAGTTATCTCCCCTAGCATGGACAGTGAACTAGGAATAATTTACCGTATTTTGCTGCTTATAAGAAGCTCCCACCAAAAAAAAAAATTTGAAGGAAGAAATCAGAAAAAATGTTTTTTCCTTGTACTTTATAGCCCTCCCCACTATCCTTAATTTTACCCACTGAATCACATGAAAACCTGAGTAACCATGACAAATTTATCAAAGTACCAAATTTATGGTATTTAGAATTAAAAAGAAGTTAGCATTTCATAATACCACCGAAACCTAACATTATTGCATCCTGAAATTTTTATTGATCATGATGAACTCATCACAAACCAGGATGGAGGACTAATTCTAAATTAGATACATGTAAATTTGGATACAGAAATAAGTTTAAAAACCAAGGGTTCAGAATCAGAAACTGATGATCATTCCACACCCCAAACTAATAACTCCCATCACCAACTTTTGATTTATAGGACGCAGGGTGATTTTTGGCGATATTTTATAGGAGAAAAAAAAATCCATCTTATAAGTGAATGGTTCAGAAAATGTTTACCAAAATACAAGCAACTGAAAAAGTCCAGACGGTTACAATGGTCTAGACATTGTGATTATAATACCAAAGATATGAATTTTAATTCAAATAAATCAGTGTATTTTAACAAAGCTTACAGTTATTAATAGCAGACTGGGATTTTATGCTTATTTTATTTAAAAGGTATAAAACAATTGCTTATTGTTATATACCTTTCCATTCAGACTGGGATACTTATCTTGGTTGTTATACCACAAAATTTCAGTCATTCTTTTGTGTCTGTCCTCAGGCTCAGAATATTGAAACAAATCCTTTATTCAATTCACAGAAAGTAGACTGTTCTCACTCCTTGCTTACTGAATATTTCACCAGTTTTATTCATTTTTGTGTTGCTTGTTCACTTCTTCCAGTGAACTTGTGTAATTGAATTTTCAACATTACCACACCTAGAGAACCAGATACATTTTAACTGACGCTTTAATCTACTAGGCTACATGCCTCTTGGTCAAACTAGTGGTGCAATTTTGAAACCCTAAATCTAATGTTTGTATTCAGTCAGTGGAATTCATATGAGTCCTTAATCAAATTAAAACATAGATGATTCCCTGGCAATTGTGAGTTCAATCCCTGAAAATTTTCAGGTGCTGAAAAGTGACATACTCTACTTCAGTGGAAGAAACAGACAAGCCACACTAAGACTGGTGACTATTAATTGATGCAAAATGTCTCCTTTGTCAGGAAAGTGGAAGGAGAACAATATACTACCATGGATTGAATAAAGGGTTTGTTTCAAAATTCTGGGAAGGTCATCAAGTACAACAACAGAAACCTGAAAAAGGGCCAGAAGGAAGAATGCTGAAATATTCTAATTTCAATCCTTGTACTTTCTGCTATAACAACCAAGATGAGTCATAAATGGAAAGGTATATGATAATTCCTCATCTCAAGAATTCCAACATAAATTGTGACTGCTACTACTTGAACTTAGAAAAATGTTTGTTCATATAAAGAGATTAAATGATTACATACATCCATGATTTTTTTTTAATAATTTAAATATCTTCTTTAAAGTTTAATTTTGGTTTTAAGTGTAAGAAAATAACACATAATCATTAAAAAAAAAAAAAAAAAAAAAAATACTTTTGGATATTTAAAGCAGGTTTTAGAGTGTTTTCATTATACCGTCACAAATTTGATTATGCCATGAATTATGCTTAAATTTATGATAAGACAAATGAAGTATAGATGTCCAAAAGTGACAAAACTGTTTTATTTGAGCATACAAGCTCATATCCTAAAAAGTACCAACTGTAACAAATGGAGATAATTTTATTATTTCTTATAAACCTTGTGTATATGCTAATTATATAATTTATTTATGTAATTAAAGAAAATATTACAATTACAAAAATTACTAGCTCATTGGATTTTGTAAAAATTTACATTTTTTTTAATTATTATTATTATTATTTATTTATTAATTATTGTCCAAAAGTTATTTTACTGAGATATCAATAAAAAGGATTTGTGAATCATGTCAGACTGTCTTATACACTGCAAACAACTTTTCAAATATGAATATCTCCAGTTCTCTATAGCACACACAAATAATTTTTAAAGCAGAATTTTTCCAATATTTCTTCTGACTAAATGGCACAAGAATTATGCAGATAACTTTTTTACACAAGCTTTGGGTTTTTTGTCAAATATAGCCTTTTCATTAAATGTGTGTGCAATACTTTAAGTAATACTTTTGATAGGAAAATTGTGACCAAATCATTTACTTGTTTTAAACTCTCTTTATTATAACAAAAATGTATTAAATTAGTACAATGATCCAATTTCAACAATAAGATACAAGTAATTATGAAACGAACTGAAATGTCAACAAAGATATTTTAAAATTAAAGGGAGACTACTTACTTTATGTTTGCTGACAACAGGACTTAGAAACTTGAAAAAAAATTATCAATTATTCGATTTCTTACATTATAATTCACAATTCTGTTCTTATTTGATCAGCTAAATCAAGCAATGTATTGTGAGATTGTTATCTAATGGATGGCCAGTTGAGAACTACAACTCCTGAAAATAAAAACAAAAATTTTACAAAGTTACAGTGTTACACTATCACACCACTTCCCTGACTTCAGCTGGAGTAGTTTCAAATATTATGGTTTAATAAGTTTAAGCCCCAGGGGGTCCATCCCCATAGACAGTACCTCTCCTTTGGGAGGGGGCTTGAGTGATTACCCAGTGTCCCCGAAACTTGAGCAATTTTCCCCACAGTATTGCCGTTCAAACCCACTTTAAATCTTGATCTTATTGTCACATTCAGTAGCAATATGGGTACACTGAAAAATCCACTTACTGACATTAACAAAAGAGAGTTCCATCGGAACGAATCAAGGATACTTATTTTTAACTTTAAATCCACACAATTTTGTTGCAGAAAAATTGTGTTTGTTTTTTGTTCTGCAATCATTTCTGTAAATGTATTGTTTTCTATTAAGTTATGTATGACGAATATTCTAATTAATTGTATTTCACTTTATCATGAGTAAGAGATAAAAAAATCAATTAGCGAAAGTCAACTGCTATCAGAATTCACTATATAAAGCATGCCACCCAACAAGCTTTTCTTTATTTTGAGAGAGAAAGTAATTACTATTATTATTATTATTATTATTATTATTATTATTCAGTATATCCACAGAGGCAGGAATAGTTTTACAAAAACATTATGGGTGTTGTTATTGCAATCAACCCAGGTCTATAAAACATACATAAGAACTTGAGAAAAAAAATCAGATGGATAACATAGAGAAATATTGAGTTACTTGTCATTTTAGAAAAATATATGTGACAAAATCCTGAATCAGTGCCAGAAAACTAGGTGTATATTAAATTGTTAGACAGTCTATAAAATGGTAAATGTTTTACCAAAGACCAATGCTTACCGACACTAAATAAAAATTATCTATCATCTGTAAACATATAAAGATAATCACAGTAAGCATTCCTTCACAAGACAAATAGAAGTCACATATGAGAAATATATAAGAATAATTATCATCATTACAAATAAATATAAATTTCCATGGCTCTCCTTTAGTTTTTAGGGGTAGGAAAGATTTTTGCTTCTTTTCTTTTCTTTTTTTCTTTTCCTTTCCTTTTTTGAAATGATCTCTTTTGGGTCATACTTTCTATTTTTATTTTGCCTTCGTTTTTTTTCTTTCTTTTTTTAAAATTCTTTTTGCTCAAAGATTATTACAAAAAAATGTTTCAGTTTGTTCTAACTTGACCAAATTCTTTCATGTCTTTTGCCAAATCAATTGTCTTAGCTCATTGAATAAGAAAACGGATAGCAACTGACCCTTAGCTTCTCACAAGTCTTACATATCCAGTACCTGACATCAGTCTTTATCTTTTCCCGCTCATAACTGGGCAACCGTAATATTTTCATTACATGGTCCCTGGGCAGGGGCCTCTCACACGACACACACATATAGCACTGTTCTTGCTGGGAGCTGGTCACCCCACCATCAAACTTACCTTGATTAATAATAGATGCAAATGCCGAGTCTGTGCAGGAATCTGGACCCTTTTTTTTCATACCAGAGTCATATTTTCTCCTCTGGTCCCGCTGTGTTGGTTTTGCGTAAGAGAAATCCCCACTTTTATCACCAACATCCATACTGTTGTTTAGATTCAAATAATGAAAAGCTTCAGAGCTCCTAGCGACTTGTTCTTTATCTTGATTTGGTGTCAGACATTGATAACTAGAGTCTCTTTCATCTTGATTGTGGTTCAGCCCAGGAAAGCTGGTACCATCGGCTGTGGAACCTCCTCGGTTGATGCTATCTTGGTTCGATGACTGATCCATACCGGGAAACACACAGCCTCTTTCTGGAACATCTTTATTGTAGCCCTGATCCATGCAAGGAAACACACTGCCCTTTTCAGGGTTGTCTTTGTTTTGGCCTTGAGATGAATCCGATTTCAAGTATGAAAATCCAGCATCCCTTTCATTGGAGTTTTTTTGGCTGAGATCTAAGTAAGAGAAATCATCTTGTCGTCCAGTTTTCTCCCCTCCTCCGAGGTTTAAATAAGAAAATCCATCATCTTGATCACTGCCAACGTTCTTTTCATTCATATTTAAATACTGAAACATCTCTTGTCGTTCAGATGTCATTTTACTGCCAGAGTCTATGTACGAAGCTCCTCGATCTCTTTGGGAAGCATTTGGTGAAAAGCCACTATCATCGTTGGGGAGGTACTGGGACCTCCTTTGGCTACAATTTTCTTTACTGTGCTTCATGCACATTTCAGTGGGACTGCTTCTCTTCCGGCTTATCTGACCAGATTTGAGGAGCTGAGTAATGGCTCGTTTATTCTGTGCTCGGCGTTTAGAGTTCTCCCTCATTCGTGCCAATCGAATCTGTCGCTGGTCTGGAGTTTCATTCTTCATACGTTGGCGCTGGTACCGCTTCATGCGCAGCAGACGTTTTGCCCGCTGTGCTTCAGTTTCATTGTGCATGCGCCATCTTTGCTTCAGTCGCATCTTCAGCAGTTTGCGATCTCTTGCAGACATCATCTCGGCACCATATTCATTTAGATCTAAGGACCGAAAAGGGTGTCGCATGAGCATGATGGAAAGAATTTCAAAAAAAGACAGATGATATGCATTGTATTTGCATCACTAACACTGGTCTACAGCAAAAATGCTTCAGTAATTTAAAAAAAAAAAAAAATGGAAAATAAACAGAAATTAATCTTTAATAAATTAACTCTTTAATAAAAAAATTAATCTTTAATGATCTTTGTTGAATCTTGGGATGCTGTACCAAAGAAATAATGGTATTATTACACATTGATTTTACTCAAACTAGTCCTCATCTTGGAATTTTGAACTAAACCCTTTATTCAAATAATGGGGTAGATCATTCTTATTCCACTGTCCAGGTCAGAAAATATATGAATTAATTCTTCTTTGTAATGTCTACTTCTTCCACTAAAACCATGACTTTTTGCAATCCCTCACTTGGGGATTGAACTCACAATTTAAACGAGATAAAATTAACAAAAATTCAACTTCTAGATAATTATCCCATAAAAAAATTAACTCAGAAGAATTAACCAATCAGATACAGTAGAACGAATTAACCAATCAGAGACAGTAGAACGAGAACAATCTACTCCCTGGATTAACTGAAGGGTTTGGTTCAAAATTCCAAATACTTTACCAATTATTACAGACACCTGATGGAGGTTAGAAGGTACATCAAGCAAAACATTGTGACTATAGCAAGCATAATGAGGACACTAGTCCTAGTAAATTGGCATATGATAATGATAATTCTTTGTCTCAAAAATTTGAACAAATATTATAAATGTGAAAAAAAAGAAGAAATTGGCACTGTCTCAAGACTCATCTAAAATCACTTGAAAAGAGGTTCGAAAAAAGTAACCATTTTAAGTTAATCTAAATTCAGAATAACCAGATCCACCAGACATTAACCTAATTGGTTAATTTAGTATAAAAGATATCTCATGTAAAAGAGATTAATTAACTATTTATGAAGATAGTAAATAAGAATTGAAACCATCATCCTTGATTTAAGAAATGATGAAAAGCATTAAGAAAAATGCATCAGTGTTAGCTGCCAGTTACAGGACAGTCAAAAGAGATGCTTCCAAATATGAACAAAAGAAAAAGGCAAACATGGATAAACATGCCCACAATGAGATATAGTATCAAAAGGACACTTTTTTCCATGACACCACTTTTTAACCACCACCACTCTTCGACACTGTTCATTGTTTTAAAAAGTGGTTATTAGAATTGAAATAAAACCTAAATAAATGATGAAAGTGAATTTATACATTTTTGTTCTTGAGAATTTACAACAAAAATATTAAACACTATTTATTTATTAGATTATTTACTTACAAGAATAATTTTATATTTACAACATTCTAAAAACTAATACAATTAGAACTAATGCAATGCAATATTTATAATTTACCAATTTATGAAGAAATATGAAAAGAATTATTTATTCATAAATTTATAAACATTTGCTAAATTATTAAAATATGTGACCCAGTTACAAGGAAATCCTTATTATTTACCATTTTATAAAGTTTGAATCAATTGGCAATTAGCTAATGTTTTGCCAACCATTCCAATAAGCAATAAATAGTGTAAATAAACAATCTAATAAATAAATAGTATTTATTATTTTCATTGTAAATTCTGAAGAAGAAAGAAAATGTATAAATTCACTTTCATATGTTTAGGTTTTGTTACAATTCTAATCATCACTTTTTAAAACAATAAACTTTGCAGAGGAGTGAAGGTAGTTAAAATAATAGTGGTGTCAAGGGAAAAAAACATCCTTTTGACACACCATTTTTTTACAGGCAGTAAGTTTCAGCTTTGCCAGGAATAAATTATAAATTCTAAATGAGAAATGTTACACATTTATATATATATATATATATATATATATATATATATATATATATATATACATATATCATAGATGTAAAAAATCAAGTATACATGGAAACTAAATCCAGTTATTCATCATTTTTGCTATGTTTGGTTTTTATAACATTGAAATCAGGCATGTGCCGTGTGCAATTACTCAGGGTAGGCAATCTTTAAACAAAGATTATAAGAAATTATTTTTTTTAATATTTTGCAAAGAAAATTTAGGTAATATTCTGATAATGAGAGGAGGCAGGAGAAAAATTTTTATAAAATGTTTGCTTGAGTTTTTATATTAAGAACAAAAAACAAAAATGAAGCCCAATTTTTGCAGCCATTACAGTCTGTTATCAAATGTGGCTTGGAACAGTGTCCAAACAATTGACATGGAAACAGTTGAAATAGTTGAAAAGCATGGGAGAATTACTAAAAATAAAAATAACCATTTACTATATTATAGAGTGTATTTAGTGAATTAAGTTACAAATTTAATTAAATAAATTAGAAATGAATTATTTTTTATATTTCTTAATTAACTTTCATACTTTTAGTCAAGGTAGACAGTGCCTACCTTGCTAACCCAGACGGCACATCTCTGCTATTAATCTATAAAGGCTGAAATCTATATAGGCTTGAAGCAGAAAATTTGTGAAAACTTGTAGACCAGTGTACGTGGGTTTATTCTATAAACATGACTATATTTTTTTTCTACATATATACTGGAGAATGGAATATTTCCTGAATACAAAAAAGGGAAAAAATATTATATTTTGAATAAAATTCTTTTCTCAAATATTTGCCATCTGAAATGAATTGTAATTATTTCACATTTTAATAATCACACATATTTTAATGTTGACAGAATAAATAATAATAAAAATACAACACTTCATAAAAATAACAGTAGTAAACTTAATAATTTTGAACAGTACAAGAGAAGTAAATTATAAGTATCCAAAATGTACACACACACACACACACACACACAAAAGAGAAAGAGAGAGGGTGCTAAAAAGTTCTAAACTCATTTCACTGGTTGAGTAAAGAAATTTTTAGCATCTTCACATAACATACAAGCAAGCTCAGAAGTCACACTGCAATTGGAAAAGAACATACATTTACAAAAAGGCAACTGGAGGACATTTCTGTGACATCATCTTCTATAATTAAACCCATAAAATTTCCAAATGACAGATTGTTATATACAGAAACATTATTCGTTTTTGTAAATAAATATAAAATTTATACATGTTTTCAATGGTACTAAAAATTTTGGGCCACTCTGTACATTTCCTTGAATCGTATAACATTTTCAAAAGTCAATAGGTTTTCTTTTCACCACTTTCACAAAAGATATGAACAATTTTTAGTAGAAAAATGATATTTCACAAATTTAACACATAAACAATATTTTTCACTGTTTATTTCCTTTCCGCAAGTTTAGATTCTGATAAAAAGTCCAAGCACAACTGACAATACACTCAAATCATATCCCATATCATAGTCTAATACTGTACCATAGAGTAATACCCATCTGTGTATATGCAAGTATATTAGGATATTAATAAATACACATATACCTATGCTAATCATGCAACTCAGAGTTTCATAGTTTTCAAATTGTCAGGCATGATAAGCATAGGTATAAGTGTATTTATAAATATACTTTATAGCTCTGTTTGACTGCATTGGGCACCATTTTGTTTACACCATAAATTAAATAAATACATATTTGCTTACCTGTACATGCACGCTATTACACACATACACAGTTGTTAATGTTGTGTTATTTAGTTTCTATCCACACTTATATATATATATATATATATATATATATATATATGTGTGTGAAAAGTGTGTGTATATAAATATAAATAAATATATATATGTATAATTATTTATATATTATATGCACAGTATACATACATATGTCATATCCGAAACTGCCCACATATGTTTATATATGTATGAGTCCCGACGGATGACCATGTATATGTGTCTGCATACATCGATGTTTGCGTTAGTACGATGACAAAACGACGAAATTTCCTACACCACTTCCACAATAAAACCAATACACACAATCTACATAAAGCCAAAATTTTAAAAAAATTAATCAGTTTGTCTGACGATCTAAAGCATGAAACCCAGGTCACAAACTCATATCTATCCAACAAATATATATATATATATATATATATATATATATATATATATATATATATATATAAATATATGTAAAATATAAAGAACGCCCATCACCCATCGGTATGCCAGTGTGTAGAGCTCCAGTTAGAGCCTTCTAGTAATATCCTTTAGTTGACCCCAGCACCTTCACTCTCTCACCAACAAACATTGCAAGTAAACTGTGTGCATAAGAATGAGTGAATCAAGGTAAACCACCAGAAAACCCGCGCAAGTGATTTGATTAAAGTGGTGAAGGATTGTGCTGAACCATCCACACTTTTTGGGACTATTGATACACGCAGTCAGTGCAAATAAATGCTACAGACAAGCAAAAATATATATATAAATAAAATATATATATATATATATATATATATATATATATATATATATATATATATATATATATATATATATATATATATATATATATATATATATATATATATATATATATATATATATATAAAATATATATATATATATATATATATATATAAAATATATATATATATATATATATATATATATATATATATATATATATATATATATATATATATATATATAAATATATATATATATATATATATATATATATATAAGATATATATATATATATATATATATATATAAATATATATATATATATGTATATATATATATATATATAAAATATATATATATATATATATATATATATATAATATATATATATATATATATATATATATAAAATATATATATATATATATATATATAAATATATATATATATATATATATATAAAATATATATATATATATATATATATAAAATATATATATATATATAATAATATATATATATAAAATATATATATATATATAAAATATATATATAATATATATATAATATATATATATATATATATATATATATATATATATATATATAT